TTTTACAAAGTATCAGGTGATGAGTCTGGGCCCGAGGAACTGTCATAAGGATTTACACATTGTTATTAATGACACTGTAATTGATCAGAAACCAGAGATAATGCTCTTAGGGGTTACCTTAGACGATCAATTATCATTTTCGAGTTATGTGAGTAGTGTTTGTAGAAAAGCCTCCTGTCAAACTGGTGTTCTTCTGAGATTACGTAACCTCATTCCGATATCAGCTAAATAACACATTGTCAAATTTGCTATACTACCTCATCTCACATATTGTCAGGCTGTCTGACGTTTTTGTCGTACTTCTGATGCCAGAAAACTAGAACGAATTCAGGAACGAGCACTACGAGCTGTTTATTGTGACAATAAATCGACATATGAGGAACTATTGCAAAGAGCGAAACTACCAACACTTCTTACGCGACGACTGCAAGCGGCCATTGCAATCATAATGTATAAAGTCAAAAATGGTCTGGCGCCTCCTTACATTGCGGAATTATTTGTTGTTACCAATTCTCAGTGTCACCTTAGAAATTCTGATTTCACCATACCCAGATTTCGGACTGTTGCTCATGGCAAACATAGCCTGACTTATTCAGGCCCTGCCATTTGGTCCAAACTCGACAAATCTATTGGATCTTCTGAATCATTGCACACTTTTAAAAAACGCATCAAACTGGTTGATTTCACTAGCCTAGCACAATACTTGTAAAGACTGTTCTTTATGTAACAACTAACACTCGATCTCACTGCATGACTCATTGTTTGTTATATATATATATATATATATATATATATTTTAAAACACTTACATACGTACATGTATTTCATATTATATTAATTATTAGATGAGTAATCGTAGTTAGGTGTCCCCAATTAGCATACATTGTATGCTAGGGACTTCGACGCGTTAATAAAGTTCTCATCTCATCTCATCTCAGCTCATCTCGGCTCGGCTCGGCTCGGCTCGGCTCGGCTCGGCTCGGCTCGGCTCGGCTCGGCTCATCTCATCTCATCTCATCAGCGTGATACACTCAGTTTTTATCCCCGGAGCCAAGTGGTTTTTTATTTGCCGTGTGATATGACCGAGGATAGCGGTTAATTTTCGGGTAAGGTCACTTCTCTCTTTTTAGTGCGAAGAACGCTACTGTGACTGCGTATCTTTTAGGATTACCCCTAGCTCGGTTCAACAAATATCATCTGCTGTTATCAAACGGCAAGTTCTCTATCAGTACGTTCAGGCACAGAAAATGAAATAACAATATAGGGGGAAAAAAAAGAAAAATAACAAATCACGACCAAACCATAAGGTTTGTTGAGCGTTGCCAAGGAAACGCATTGATACCAAGGATAATCAGCTTAGTAGGGCTAACTTAAAGTCACTTTGTTTAATGTCTTTTTTTATCGTGAAAGTTTGAAAATGCTATGTTGTATTATGGAGAAAAAAACCTTGTAAATGGTGCTATTATAAAATGTGTACAGTATGTCTTTTAAGGAAAGAATTGTCTTGCTATACAGCTGTAGAGTCCAGGAGTCAAGGAAACAAGGTCGCTGAAGTCCTGAGGCCAGACAGGCGTTCCATGTATTGTTCATCTTTGCAAGATTGCAATTTTTTGTCATTTTACACAGTGATCGTTATGGAATTAAGGCAGTCCGTTTGTCTTCGACATAACAAAGCCTTATTCCGAAACTGATGACCTTGTGGAAAGAAGTCGATCGTCATCAGAGTCAAATCTAACAAACGTAAAGTTTCATTGTGAAGATGAAGCGATTAAACTTAACGTCTAGTTTACAAAACTTTAGGATAGTTTAACTTTGACCTACAAAAATAATTAAACACGAATCTACTCTCTTCAAAAATTACACAAGGAATTCTTTTACCTGTATCGAGACCTAAATACATCCCTGGAACCTCTCTGCATAATAAAATTTCTGCCCAAAAGTCCGTCAATAAAAAATCAAATACAAAATGAAAAGTTGATAACGTTTACTTATTGACTTTTCCGTAAGCGACAATGTTCATGCACTTATGAACTTTCAAAGTGTTGCCATACGAAGTGTAATATCAACATTTATAAAACTCTTTTATTACTTTTGAGTTAAAAAAGTTGGATTCAAACACTAAGAGTGATATATTGGTAACGTTTATCAGTTTAAATATATTAACGAAATATCTAGTTTTCCAAAAAATACGAAATTCAACAAGAAGCCTAAAGGCTTTCGCGCGGTATGCTTTGGTCGATGTACTATTAAATGCCATCAACTTTAGATGGCTATCCGCGTAGGAATAAATCCAAACAGAAAAGCTGACATCCATTTTTGCAGTTGTATTTTCTTTAACAAAAAAGGTAACAGAATGTGGTTCGCGTTCAAATTTGCATACATTTGATAGTGAGAGTGTAAGCATTGTCAACATTGTTACTGTCGTTACTATGTAAAAGAGACACAAAAATGCCTCATTCATTGCAGTACGAGAACGAGATTAAGTACGAGTGAAATGTCCGAATTCAAACCACTGATGTTTCCAGATCAGAGCTCGCGCTCTTCTTGTTGGTTTTAGGTAGCCAGAGTAACTCGTGGGAGGAGATAGGAATGTCATGTTATAAGGTGAAAGCTGCAAACTAGAATTGAAAAGTCGTACCCGTATTCGATCTCGTACTCAAAATTTAAATCAAATACATTTTTTCCTTTCTTTTCTTCTTCCATAACAAAGTTTAAATTTAATTTAGTCCTCTAAGGTTCCGTTAGCTTTGTTGTTCTTCACTTTCTTCAAACGTCGTAAGATTCTGTGGGACCTAATATACAACAAATGAAGTTATTGCACAAATGATATTACAAATGCATAATAAAAAACCTTTCTGATCAAACAAAAAGACCCGATGTATAGAATCTTATGACTGTGATGTTGCACAGAATAAACCGACAGATGACACTGGGTATGTAATGTTATAATCCATTCAAATTTTCGCTCGCACGCGATTGGTCTAAACTCGTAACGTGACTGAATACCCCCCAGCTTAAACTGGGGAATATTCGAGTGATTTTCCCCAATTTTCAAAAGTTGGCGTATTGCGAAATTTGAAGGATAATGAACACAATAGCCCCATATGACTTCAAAAGTATGCTCGGATATTTGTCCTCAGGTGGACATATGTTTGCTCCTCAAAACTCACAGTTTTCCTCGAGCTTCGCTCTGGGAAAACAGTTCGCTTATCGGAAAAGATAATGTCCGCGGACAAACATCCGAGCATCTGTGGAGGCTATCGTTTATATAATCACATTAGTGTTCATCAGTAACAATCACTTTTACATCACGGAAGATACAATTATCCAGAAACTGAATTATTAGTTAGTTTGGTTGTGAAAACAGAATACGCCATTTTCGATATATTAAAATTCCAACATTACGCCGAGGCTTGGATGAATAAAAGAAATCACATTGTAGTTGAGACACGAATAAACTTTTCGTTCTGTTTTAGTCCCCTAAACCTCGGCGCCATGCTAGAATTTGTAATACATGAACAGCCAGAGGCGTATACTTTCTTCTGTGCAGACAATTAAATATGCAACATTACAAATGTCCAACCACTGCTTGATTATTCTGCTTGCGTTAATTTTTTTTCGTTTACAAATAGAAGAACCGTAGCCAAGAGAAAACATATAAACAGTTTATGAAAACATTCACTGACTATATACAGTGAAAAACTTTCGAGCTTTCGACTGTCAGACTATAAAGTTTCGATCGAACTTTATACAGCCAGTTAATTTTTTCCTCCTCCAGGTTTTCCTACTAAACAGTCAGTTATAGCCAGAGCTTAAGACCATCACGACAAGGGTGATCAAGACAACAATTTTTTGTACAACATCAACACTGACCTTATAATTACGTTTCACTTTCGTGGCTTCTCCTTGTGTACCACACTAATGCATTGGCTTCAGCTCCCACTTTGAACTTGCAAAAGTTTCCTGTGGACAGACATGATTAAATGTAAATTTACTCTAAGGCATAGCGTGCCACTAACAGCACAGTTAATTCGGATTGAACTAGCGCCCCCTACTGGGGCAGATCTAGGGGGAGGGTGCAGGGGGTGCACACCCCCCTCCCTGAGATTACATATTCGTTTTTTAACTTTGTTTACCTCACCAGTCAGTTACGCCATTCCTTAGTGGTGTACCCCCTCTTAAGAAAAATCCTGGATCCGCCCCTGCCCTAAAGGCCAAAGAAAGAAGTCTACCACCCAATTCTGTGTTTTTTTAAATGTACCATGGATAGTAAAGAGACAGTATAGCCTTCAGGTCGGTAAATAGGGGAAAGCTGTAGACAAAAAAAGTGAGGCGCCACGCACATCTCAGAAAGCCTACAGGACTGGCTGAGAAAACAATAAGACGAGGAACAGAAACCACGAGCCTACCCTTAACACAAAAAGTGACCGTGAAAGGGCGAGCGAATGAAATTACAGATTCTGAAGAGGATCGTGGCTTCTGAAAGAAGTCAATGATGGATGACAAAAAAAGCTTGGCAAAAGAAACTGTTATCATACCCGAGAGAAAGTTCACTGAACAATTTTAAGAAAGTTGAATCACAAGAACACATGCTGCTCTTCATTTGAAAACTAACAAATACTACAAGCGTGGGTAAGACTTACCTCCGAAACCGAGTTGAAACTGCGAAAAATTCAGCCATTTGTAAGGATTCTTTTCAAACTACACAAAAAAATGAACATAGTGATGAGATAAGGGTTTACGCAAAAGACTCCGTTGTTGACAAAGCACTTCCTCTAACAATACTCAACGCACTAAAACAGAAACAATCACGTCCCAGTCAATGACAAGAGATCAGAGGTGTACCACTATCCAAATAATTAACAACATTATCCCACTATGCCATTCTACCATATAAGGTTAAGAGAACACGCAAAATGAACTCAACTCAATTGGCCGTACTGAGCGACCCAAACTGTTTTCAACACGATACAAACTCCGAAAAGTTACCATGCCAATCACTTGTCAGTTGTCTCTTCAATTTAACATATCAAATAAACGGCATTTTGACACGCGCCTTATTCGATCGGTGCGATTTTCGGGATGATGCAGAATGTACTTCAAAAACCAGACAACAAAATACTAGAAAATAACACGATAGTGGAATAACAAATCCCTTATTCGATGGTTTAACATGTAATACGCAGGAACATTTTGCTTGTTGCCTGTATTTTTCCTCACCCCTTCGGGACTTGGAAAAATACCACGTAACTTGCAAAGCACCCGCACGTATTAGAACGGTTTTCAATTGAGTGTCGTAAAACCAAAACCAAACCGTTTACTTACCAATTAGACTACTCAGCCAATCTCAAACCTTAGTAAAACCAAAACCAAAGTCTGCATACTAGCCAAGTGGCCCATCAGGCTGGAGCTTATCCTGGTTTCTGTAGCAAGAAGCGACTAGGAGTATTTCTACTACTCCTTGGATGAGATGCTAGTCCATCGCAGGGTTACCCCCAGCATTAAGTTTGCCAGTACCCATTTATAACACCTGGGTGGACAGAGGCACTGAGAGAGTAAAGTGTCTTGCCCAAGAACACAACACAAAGTCCCCAGCCAGGACTCGAGCCCGGACCCCTCGATCTGGAGATGAGCGCACTAACCATGAGGCCACTGCGCCTCCCACCACTATTGACTTCACAAACCAGTTTCTCAGA